TATTGTTTTCTATTGTTTAATTAGCACTATTTACTACTAAATAGCGCAAAGTGTTGCACACTTTTAGTGTTTGTACTCTAATAGCCCATTCACACCAAGGCTTAAACGTGTTTTAAAGTAGTTTAGCTAAACAGGTTTGGAAAACTATCTACGAACACTGCACAATCTTTGGTAAAATAATGCATCTAAGCTATCCTTTGTCTTGCTCTGATAATATTTTACAAAGTTTCATTATATTTTAGGTTTCTAGTTTCTCAATTTTTTTCCTAATGAAAACATAGTTTAACCTAAACAAGTTTAGGTGTGAATGGGGTATTAGATTTGTTTAGTGCTATTTAGTTTTTGTGCTATTTCATGGATACATATATCTAAATAATTAAGGTAGAGAAGAGCGGATTTTGAAAAAAAAACACTAAACGGCCTCAATTCGCGCTGAAACTTCGCCAGAAGACTGAACAAAGTAAAAGCAACGACTGCAGCAAGTTTTGAGGCAAATTGTTGAGTGTAACATTTCATTGTCATAATTTATCATAGCTCCCATACATTCCCTTATAAACCATACACAGGAACCTTGTTTGGACTGCCTGTGGTCAGTGCTAGACGGATTTTTGACCCCACCACCTCCCCTTCGGCGACGTTTCGCCATTATAACAGTTCAATCCGGTAGCTTAATCACTGCCTCGGCAAAACTCGTGTTCTCAAAACGTAACCGCGTGTATGAAGTGAATGTACTTCTTTGGCGGTGAAAATTATATACTATTTGTTGGAGAAAAAATAATGATAGCATTTTCCTTTAGAAAATAATTTGCATTTCTTTTCGTCTAATTTTTGTCCTTTTGCATTTTTAATCTTTTATCTGTATATAAAGCTAAATAATTAGCGCTAGATATTTTATATTTATTTATTGTATAGTATAAATTTGGTTTTCCAATTTCCAATTCGAATTGCTCCTTTTTTGTCCTAATTAATGTCAAAGAAAGAAAGAAAATTGGATGGATGGGTGGATGGATGGATGGATGCATGCATGCATGCATGGATGCATGGATAAATTGAGTGATTGAATTTCAATTTTCTTTTCAGATTCTGAGTGCATTCATGGCTAAACTTCGTCTAATGAATGTAATTATCACATTTTATATCGCGATAGGCTTTACAGTAGTAATCATATTTTTTACGGTTTTAAATAATTTTCTAAGAAACAATGACCAACTAAAGAAAACCGTCAACACGCTAAATAAAAGCAACAACATTTTGGATTTTCCGCATCAGTGGTGTCGGATAGAAAAATGGCGCCATGATTGGAAAGGGTTGCTTGGCGCATGTGCTGGAGACATTGCATGGGAGAAAAGAAATATTACATCTCCTGATCGCACAAGTGCAAGAGAAAGTTATATCAGCCGTTGGGAGCTCAGTCCTCCTGGTGAGTTATCCGTCATTGACGTCCCGTTGTTTTGGATACAGCAGACAACAACTAATGGTAAATGTGATCGATGTACCGTCTTAATTCATCTTCTTTGTATTCTCTTCTGGTGAGCCGTTTATATGAATCGATGTCATTACTGTAGCAAAGCTTTGTTTGCCCCCTGGATGACACGTAATGCCTTGCGATCCGAGATGGCCCCAGTATCGTCAAAGTAGTCCATTTTTAGCCATTCATCGAAAGCCACCCTCCAATAAGCTTACAATTAGAATAGATTTTTTAATGCACCTGACAATAATGATCGTACTGAATATTTATAGGACGTTTTAGTCGTTTCTGGATTCAGTCAGTGAACGTAAAAGGGGAGTTGAAGAACCGAGGTGGAGATGCATGGAGAGTGTACATTCGTCAAGGACCAGCTTCGCTAGCCCCAGTTGTAATAGACCTCCAAGATGGACGATACGAAGTGCTATTTCTTATCACTGAGCCTGGGCTCTACAAAGCGCAGATCTCTCTCGACTACACGCTTTGTGATGGATTTAGAGATCCACCCGCAGACTGGTTTATCATCGGTAAATTAAACTTGCCACCGTTTTCGTTGCTACGCGCTGATCGACTGGACTACAATTACGAGAGGGAAATCGGGCGATAGACTATACCGTCAAATAAATCATTAGAAAAAGTTCATATTTACCTGTTATCACGGTCCCCATAAACCTCTAAATACTCTAACGATTTCATTTGATTGACGACAGTCTATTGTCTTTTTTTTTTTTTTTTTTTTTTTTTTTTTTTTTTTTTTTTTTTTTTTTTTTTTTTTTTTTGTCGCGACTATTGTCTCGATCAGCAATGAAAACAGTGGTAAACTTCAACCCTGATTATCTCAGACGGTATAGCATATACCATTTAATCCGAGGGTCAAGGGTTCGAGTGCTTTACTTATATAAGGCTCAGGCGAATCAAACTTCCAACTTCAAATGAGCCGTACGTAAGCATTGGAAACGATGGATAATAAGGCGGTCTTCTTTTATGTCAACAGGTTTGACTCATGTGAAGTTTAATGTTTGTATTCGGCATTAGTTCTCCATTCTCCTGGCACCTTAAATTTATAATAGCCTGGTTTTTGGAGTTGTTAGTCGTCATTAATTAGGCTTTTTGGACCTGAAATATTTTGAAACATCTCGTATCCTTGTAGATATTCATCTGTTCTGCAGCTATTATTCAAAAAACGAGTTGTAAAGGTTTTTATGCTCGTTGCATGTTGCACATGGGCGATGTGATTCCAATCAGCGAAACGGCACAACGTTTTGAATTTTTACCAAACTTTGTCTGCACGTTTTCAGTACATTTTCTCCTGTGCTGGTATTATTTAGATATTAATATAATGCATTTCTGGCTTGCTAATTAATATGTAGCATGCAACATGCAGCCCCTCGACATGCAACATGCCACAAAACCTTCACCAACCTTTTTTGAAATAGCTGTATACGTTTTTTAATTTAGGGACAATCCAAGGAAAGTATCAAAATGACGGAGTGTTAGGTTATATTGGAGATGACTACATTCTCCAACCCTTGGAAGGAAAAAGAGAAACAAGTTTTGTTATCGGAAACACGACAGCTGTAGACAGCCAAGGTATTATGAAGAACTGTTTGGACTTATATAAATATATATGGGACATATCGTTATTTTGTTATCTTCCATGCTTTTTTACTTTTTTAGGTTTCTTTGATCATTGTACCAAATATTCTGAAGGTGTCTGCACATCATACAGGAAATCCATTCCCTCG